GATGTGTCTTGAGACATTGAAGCCAATGAGGGTACTTCCCAAAATCTTGCCCATCATTCCCTTTAAGAAAGCTATGCTATGCAAATAACATTGAGCCCTTGTTAACGTTGTACTCAAGATCTCGGTTTTAAAAAAAGAAGAGACATTTAGAAACAAATGCCTTGCTCAAAGGAAACAACAGCCATTATTGCTGGGAACCAAGGAAACAAGATATTGCTATACAAGCAAGTCTTCTAAATATCTTAATCTATTTAATCAAACTTGTTTCTATTGATAAAGTGTGGAAAGGGGTAAATTATTCCTCAAGTCACAAAGAAAGACAGTTAACAAGAGAAAATAAAATCTGAAAATGGTCGAACAAACAGAATAGCCAGCCAGTTGATAACAAAAAATAAAATACAATTTAGCAATGTTCTTGTATCTCCATTGTCCCTTCTTCTTCACTTTACCAGATACACACCAAAGCTTTCCACACAGTATAGTGCTCTTTACCCCCCCCCCCCCCCCCCTCCACACACACACACAGAGTGTCATTCCAGACATGTTTACACAGACAAAGTTAGATCTCAGTGTAGAAACCCTGAGGGCCTTGTCTTTTTGAGGGGGTCCCCCCCTTACCCCCTGTTTCTATCCCAACATCCCTGGATCCCTCATCATCCTTCTGAACCTTCCGAAGGTTCAATTTAGGGACTAAACCTCAGCTTGGCCCCTCAGGACTGTCTGACTCCCTTTTGCTGTGTTTTGATGGTTTAGGCCAATTTACTGCCTGAAGTTACACTGTTACCAGTAGACTGTTGAGCCATGATGAGAATATTCCCACAACACACTTAGAGGGATTCTTTTCATGATCTGCAGCTTTCACCGTCACTGAAGCCTAATAAAACAACATGGTGGAGGACATTGAGAACACTGCCAAAAGGCCCGATTGACAAGTGAAGACCATGAGCTGTTGTCCTAACGTTGATGTTTGTGTGAAGTGATGCCTCATCGTCAATCAGTCTAGAACCCCCTGGATGAGTCCCAACCAAATCTTACTAAAAAAAAAAAGCTGCAGTCAGGTCTGGAAATGCAGCCGCCACCAGCCCAAAAATCTCTGCCTCGAATCTGTCGGAGCCTGTCAGCAAGACTGAGGGCCGCCCGTCTGTGATTGATGACTGGGTTTCTGCATATTTCTGAACCTAACACGTGTTGGCTCTGTTGGCTGGGAGTCGTCTCTGCTTTATTTAGTTTACATTATTCTTATTATTTCTCCAGCCAACCCAGCTGTTCAGTGTGTGTATCTGTGTGTCTTTGTGTGCACATGTGTGCACGCAGGGAGGGGCTTTTTCCATGCCCTCAGTTGTCCAGGTATGTGTAATGAAATCGCGGGCTCTGTTTTGAAAACCCTTGGAGTTCCAGTCATTTTCACATTTGAGGTTTTTTCCCCTCTCAGCTCCCTTCTTTGCACCTTCTCGCTCATTCACCCACTCCCGTTTATACTCCAATGGAACAGTCCACCCAAGGACACCTACTGCTTAATTTGCAGCACTTTCAAAAAGTAAAAATAAACACAGGTTCTTAAACGTGGGGAACACCCACCATCTTGACCACTTTGTGTCCAGAAGCAGAAAACAGTGCTTAACTGTAAAAAAAATACTGCATAAATGTTCAAATCAAGCAGCTTCTACATGAATCAGGAAACCAAGAAGCCACAAGAAGTCGGCAGACTCGGCACTTAAGACAAAAGTCACTTATCTTAATCTTTGTGTGCTAAAAACCTTACAGCATAACACTACAACTTTACGAGAAGTAGAAGTGGACTACTGTTATGTTGTCCCATTTCACATTACACAGGTGGATGCAAGGAGGAAGAGTTGTTCACAATCACAAATGTGAACACACAAACACACTGCTCATATAATATAAAGTCTGAGAGTATGCTCTAAAACAGGGACTAGCTCACGATAAAGCACTGGTTTTATTGAGGTATTTCCTTCAGGTTGGCCTCACATTTAGCTTTATTTATTCAAAACTGAAAATAAATTACAAATTTAACTTATTATCCTCATGCCGAGTTGATAACGTTGTGTTGATAAGCAGAAAAAGAAACTCAGTGAGACAGACAAGAAGTTCAATAAACTGGGATTGAATTGAACACTTCAGTTATTCACTGTTATTGTAATCTAATCCTGATTGAATGATGGACGGACAAAGTCGTGTACAGAATATTCATTTAAACAACAACTACAACTTCAGGCTCTATCCAATCAACTGTATCAATGGTATGTAAATATCTCAGAATAGGAGCTAAGAATCGACCTTGATATCAAATTGTACGCTGATGACAACCAATAATGTCGTGTCATATCAGAGTCACATCATTTAATCAGCAAAGATAAAGCAATTTTACCTGATTATACCTTTTTCATTCTCTGCAAACAGATTTGGTAGACTGCATTTGGCGGAATAAAGCCAACTAAGCCTTTCTCAAAAATACATGGAGCAAAACACCAAAGTAAATACATGATTCAAATACGATTGTGCACAATTAGCCAGTTAAACAAATTAGTTCTGCACCCTCGCCAGATGGCTAAGGACTTACTGATTAGTAATATTTTATCATATCAGGCTCGCAATACCAGTCAAATGCTTTGTCTTACCTGCAACACAACCTTGTGCCACTTACTGGGGCTGTATTGATTATTGCCATTGCATACTGCCATAGCAGTGCAATATTCACAGTATTTCGGTCTCGAAAATGGAGATTAAGTTGTATGTAGGCTGTGTCGGGTTAAACTTGCATATAACAACTCGATTGGAGCAATGCAGAACCATATTCAACCAACAAAGGCTATGGTGTGCTACCACTGCTAACGTTAGCCAAACGCGGCAAACCTGTAATCCTATTTTAAGCTGTGTTCAATAAATTGCGCTCAGTTTTGTGTTTTCAAAATTTAAGACTAGTTGACTAATCTGAATTCATAGTTTTTAGTTAACCGAATTGGAAATTATATGCTAGGAACATCCCTATTCATCCAGCCGTTTTAATAAACCTGAGAAAGCATTTCACCCCCTTTAACTATCTCTTCATCTTTTAACCCTAACAACCTTGTGTTTTCTTGCAGGCCAAAATGCACTTGTACAAGGCCATATATGTGTGAGCTCACTGCAGCTCCACGTGTGTTGCTGCGTTGTAGTAATTAACAGCTGTGACTGGTCTGGAACACCTGCAATAACAATCTAGGCTGTAGCAGGTTAGCTAGCTGCTACTCTCACCCGCTTTCTTTATATTGTAATCTGATCCAGCCAACTCCTCCTCAACCGAGAGCCCTCTGAGCCACAGAGAAGGGGTGAGAACAAGGAGAGAGTCCTGTGTCTTCTCTTACTGGACAAGACTGTGACTAAAGATGAAGAGAAATGAGTGATTGGTGTGGCTAACTCATTTTCCAGCCTGAAAGTTGATTTGAAAAGCAGAAAATGCTGCACATGTCTCTGAGGGCAGCAGTTTGAACTCTGTCGTAACATCTATTTTCAGAGCTCCAATCAGGTGATATGGCTGAAAAAATGGCTTTTGATAGTTCTTGTTTTTATGTCATCTACCACAAACTAAAAATAATAAAGTACAACAGCGCTGACCAGGCTATCAAACACATTCAACTCAGCTGCTTAAAGTCTTTTTTTTTCTACTCAGTCACTTGAGGCCAGACCCAACATAACCTTTACTAATTTATTTAAAGACGTCTGTAACCTAGGCCTTTGTGTAAGGCCTCTGTACTTCAAAAAAAGCAAATAATTTCAGTAACTTGATCACAATTACAAACACAGCTACCAAGATGTGTCGTATTAGGCTGAATGTCAGTAACTGTGTCAATATTTATAGCTATGAAGCAAGTTTAACCATCTGTAGTGTGATATTTTTAAAGTAACAGGAGACACCTATTAGAGCTCCAAAGACGACAAATTTGTCTAAACTGCAGGAGAGCTAGATTAAAATAAACAGATTTTTTTTTTTTGATGTATTTGGGAAAAGTCTGGAAATCATGACATCTGCGCCAAACTGCTTTAACAAAAAACAGCAGCTGTCACAAGCTGAAGCCAGGGACATGACAGACACACATATAAACAGCAAATACAACTACTGTAAACTGACATGCACCCTGCAGTAATATGACTCACCTTTTGTTTGCAAGAGTAATTCACTTAATCCTATGTTAAAGTCCTTTTCATGATGTGTTGACATGAGTTTGTCACCTGTCACCTGTTTTGGCTGGCTGACTAATCCAGCAACTAATGCCAGAACCTGACAGGGATCGCAATGTGATGCAGTATTGTGTCTGACTGACTGTGTGTGTGTGTGTGTGTGTGTGTGTGTGTGTGTGTGTGTGTGTGTGTGTGTGGTTTGTGTCCAGATAAAGCAGTGTGCCCTTAGGGGGAAAACATCACCATAGAAGCTAAAAATACAATCACACAAACACTGTATAGACATTATCTCGTAACCAGTGTCTTTCATTTTTATATTCTTCTTTTACAGTGTGAAAGCCTCAGAAAATATGACTAGTAGAAAAATTATTAAGATCTGTGTTGGCCTTGCAGATCACATTTTGTTGATGTAGCACAGTGAAAAACCTTCTAGCCTCAAAACTGAGTGTTTTATTCTGAAAATTATCCAGATTTAATGTTGTTTCGGTGGGTGACTTCCTGTCCCGCTCGATCTGTTCTGTGTGAAATTGATGTGCCGTGCTCCGGCGTCCGACAAATATAGAAGCCTTGCAAATTCTGCTGCAGAGGGCTCTGGACGTCCCGAGCTGGGACGGAGCTGAGACACAGCACGGAGCAAGTGGAAGCACAATCATTGACTAAAGCGAAATCTGGGCATAACCACATCCAATTCAAACCCATTTTTAAGAATGTATATAGTGATTGAGAAATACTCCATACTTAGCCTGCTTATTCTATGATGTCAGTGAGTCATGATTTAACCTATTAGAGTAGCATTGATAAAAGATGTCAGCCCAACTCACCAAAAAAAAAACAGCAATGCAAACAGAACGTCTTCCGTATTGTCAGTCTAGCATCGTCCTCATCTTTCTCTCTCCCTCCCGTTCAGGATGCAAAGCTCTGATGTCAGCACATTTCCCCCGCAGGAGGCCTCACAGGTACAACTCCAAATGACCTCTACCCTCTCTGAAATCTATGGAGGGAGAGAAAGAAGAAGGCACACATGAAACCCATTTCACAATCTGTCATCAGAATCACAGGACTGGGCAACGGGGGGGGGGGGGGAAATCCCAAACAAGGAAGAAATTGATTTCATCTGTTTCTCCATCCCCTCTCACAGTCTGAGTGGCACTCGCTGTCATTTGCTATTTGGCCGACAAGTGTGAGGCTCAATTACAGAATCAGATACGGTGCAGAGAGAGGTCTACAGTAGAGCGGACGTGCAAGATTTCAGAACAAAGCTTTTGCAGATTTGTCTGTTGAAAGATTCTACTGTCAAGGGGCATCACGCTGATAGGTTCTGAAGGTGGTGAAACACAGAACCCCTCTTTCAAACCGATATATAACGACTTTTGAACTTTAAAATCTCGGAGAAGAAAGCAAGTGCCGTGAAACGTACTTCGGTGAAGTTGAGCAAAGATGATTCCAGCCAAATAACACGCTGACTCACAGCTGGGTACGATGCTGAACTAACACGGGGAAGAAGAGTGTTGGATCTCGGATTTTCCCTTCCAGCGGGAACAGGTGATGATTCTGGAATTCTGGGTGGTCTTGCTGACCTGTCTTTTCTCGATAAACCACAAAGTTAGAGAATAACTATGGGCTGACATCCTGCCTAAAATGGTCAAGAGATTAATCAGAGGCCTTCAAATTCAGACATAATACTTGACAAATTACTATATTCTTCTGTTTTGTCTATCTTCTACCTCGCACGCATAAAGTCACACACAGCTGTCCTTTATTTGCCAGGATCCAGTCACAGATGGCGATACAGTGTGAACTTTAACACACGGATTCTTGACATTCTTCTTGGGTGTGAGTTACTCTCCAACTTCAAGCAACATTTTGCTCCGGCCTTCTTTTCCTTCTCCTGTCAGCAGGTCCATGTTACAGAAAAAACTCAATGTAAAGTCCCTCACACTTAGACTGAGGCTCTTATTGTCCTCTGCAGGTACAGTAGCTCTCTTCTGTCTGCGTTTCTTCGCCCTGCATGTGGTCGGCTCCCGGCTGCACACCCAGCCTCTGTGTTCGAGCTGCATCAGCATATTCTGCTGTTTTATGATTGGTCCTGTAGTGGCAAGTTCATTGCTTAATGTAAAAGGAATGCTTATTAAACGACGCAGCACGCCTGTTTAAATAAAGGGAGGAACATACATGGTGTATCTACAAACATGCAGAGCCTAACAATGATTCTTTGTGCAGTGATGCACTAAAATCACATGCTCATATTTCAACATGCCTTTATATTTTTACATTACTTTTTATCATAGCTGATTTGCTATGCAGGTTGAAGATAGAAATTCAACTGAAAAGCAATTACACAATATAATGCTTTCCTGCTGTTGTAGCATTATATACAAATGAAGTATAATTGTAATTATTAATATTTGGGCCTGACTGATATTGAATTTTTGGGGCCAATACCGATATCAATGTTAAGAAGAGAGAAAATCCCATACCGATAAATCGGCCGATATCTTTCTTCGATCTATGTTTGAACTTTAAATAGATATTTAGATCTACAGATTAATTGCATTTATCCTCCAAATGCAGTTATCAAAAACTTGTAGAAAAGACAAAAGGAAGACAAGATGGTCCCTCAACTGGAGAGTTACTATGCATGTACGTGCATCACCGCTTGACACTCTGGAGAGTGCTTGTTGTAATCTATATAGCGCCCTCTGCTTGTGAAAGAGAACTGCTTTGTGTAATACACTGAAACTGAAATGAAATTTGATTTAACTGGTGAATAAATCTAGTAATATCGGTGCATATCTGTGATAAAATTAGCCGATACTGATAGTCACTTAATATCCTAGTATTGGCTGATATTATCGGCCGGCTGATTAATCGGTTGGGCTCTAATCAATATGTGAATTTTTCTCACAATCTTAAAATCCTAATCATTGTATCCTGGCATGTCATACTTTATATTTGACTTGACAACACAAGAATACGGAAAGTCTTCATAAGAATGTCAAAAACGGGAACATAAATCATGGTTAAAATAAAATCTGCCCTAGTCTGCCTGAAAAAGCCCCGGCACTGCTATTGTAAATCTGTCAGGTGAAATTAAAGCTTCTGAGAGTTTCTAAAGTTTACTGCACTCTATCAGATGTTGATCTCATTTGTTTCCTGCGATCCCGTCAGCAGATGGAGACTCTGTCTAGCCTGATACTTCAGTGGAAAAAAAGGATTCTATTATAGTCACTGCGGGTTATTTTACATAGACATCCACATGCCCATCAGAAAGTCAATTAGATGCCACTTTGGGGGAAAATTGCTGCCGAGACGGCTTTACGATTCCAAAGCTCACATACATAAAATCAGCCCTGTCAAATACTATCTCTACCACAGGAAAATCATACCAGATCAATACAGCTTTTAGCTTTGGATTTCACTTTCTTCAGGATATTATTGATTAGGAACACACAGTGAAATTACTCATAATTCATGTTTGAGTTTGGGATTTTACACTGAAAACGTATCAATATGTGCAAGCTTTACAAGTTTGACCAACATTATTGACAGTTTTTAGGAATTGCGACGAATTTGAGGCTAAACACAAATAGAATACAGAAGAGCTTCACTCACCATTGAGATAGTATTTATTTATAGGGCATCAGAAAGCATCCTGTCACTTTACCCAGCCAGACCTCCAGCCATCGTCTCTCACTAGAAAGAAGAAAGAAGCGTTATTAAAAGGAGCTCATATGTCCTACATCTCAGAGAGAAAGGTCCAAGACTAAATTTCAAGCTCAGGTAATTCCCCCACTTTGAGTTTCACCCAATCATGCAAAGTACCACTTATCCTCTTCTCTTCTTCGATCTTCAGTCATCCACCTCATCCTTTACTTTTTCTCTAATAACAGGAAGTCAGCTTTCTCTCACATGGTCGCTGACCTTTCAGTCGAAGAGCAGAGCTGCTTGCAGCAGGTAAGAAGAGGATTTTTTCTAAGTGGAACAAGATTGTCTGCGTTATGCTTGTACTTTCTTGTTAATGGGATCCAGTGAGGGGAAAGCAAAATACGCTCAGCCATCATAATGACAGTTTATCCCAACAGTGAAATTCAAACTTGAGCTAGATTTCAATATGTTTTGGGTTTGTGAGTCATAAAGTAACCATCCAATTTTAAATGTATTTAACCAGAAAAAACCTCATTGAGCTTAAGAATCTCATTTACATTAACAATCTACCAATCCCAAACCTACATACCTCTCTGCCAACTGACTACCTGTTTAATAACCTTACTATACCTGCCTGCTTACCGACCTGGCTATTTACCTGAATGCCTACCCACTCACCTTCCCACTGAACTTAAAAAAGAGGATCGTACATCTCTACTACCTACGTGCCTTTCTTCCTACTTACCGTCCAGGTAACCTTACTTAACTATCTACTACCTACCCAACTACCTATACCTGCTTACAAGCTATTTTCAGTGTATCTATGTGAAGATACAGTACAGTGTGTAGCTCTGCAGGAGAACTGCAAACCAACAGCAAAAATCTGTCAATGGCTGAACGATGGAAAAGCCATACCTGTGGGAAGCCTTGATATGATACGCTCCTTTATAAGTATTTCTGTGTGTGTGTTGTCTGAAGGTGTACAGTGTCTGTGAGAGAAAAGAAACTTGAAGAAATCTTGAAAAATTTGAATAACCTTGCAGCTGGAAAAGTCATTGAAAAAACGCCAGAGACAGAATCAGTGACAGTTTGTCTCCTCATAAACTTTCGCTCTACCATTTATCCTGACTGTCTGACAGTCGCTGTGCTCAAATTACCTGACGGGTGACTGTATCACCACACACTGACTGGATGTGTGAGGTGATACGGTCAAATCTTGAGTGTTACTTCTTTCTGCTCTCAAACAAAAATCTCCTGCAGCCCTACAAAAAAAAACTCCCACCCCCCCCCCCCCCCCCCACCTCCATATACTTGGTCATTACCTGTCCAGTCCTCAAATACTGCTCCTATTCAGCTCGTTAATATGCACCAAATATCTCTGCTCTGATTGGCCAGGCTTATTTCCTGTAATTATAAGGGAGGAAACTGGGGTGAGGGGTCGCAGCTTGCTAAGTTTAGCCCTGTGGATAAACCCAGACCCAGGCTATGGTCTACGTAGATCTTAAGTAGCTGCTTGTGGGGGAATGACTAAGTGTTTGTAAATTGCTTCAAATGGGCAGAGGCTTCTAAGAGGGGTTTCCTCTTGTGAAAGATGTTTTCATTTTAACCTCTTTTGATTTTGCAGGTAAATGAATTCATTAACTGCATTCAGAACCTTATAAAATATATTTGTTTCATCGGAAGGGAACAAAAAAAGTTTAAAAAAAAATACTACTTTTTTTCAGTCATATTTCAATCAAGCCAACGTGTTTGCCATGTTTGATGTCTCCTCGTCCTTCACTTTTCCATTTGTGGTGTTTTCAATCAGCCACACAGTCCATTAACCAGTCCACCAGTGAACACACAAATCATCTTTCACAGACAAACACTTTAAGTGCTGTTCAGGTTCACATTTATCTGCAGAACTATTAGCCAACGTTACACTGTGTAGTGCGTACAGACCTCTTTAATAGGACTCCATCATCTCACAGGTATTTTTAAAAAAACACTTCTGTCTTTATATGGCACTACAAATGGCCTGTAAATGTAGATGAATGTCGGTAGGTTTTTTGCAACACACACTTACACACTTCGTGTCAGCCATCAGTGCCAGGGAGATCAACAAGCAGAAACACTTGAAGCCTGAGTCTGTGGTAGACCACAAAACGTGCCTTGCCATGCACCGTAACATGCCACGCCATCCTCATCGTGTCAGCCTAATGACGGGCGTTCCTCCTGACAGGGGCAGAGCCGGGGCAAAGCCTGGGTGGTGGGTAGAGGTTAGATCACTCACTGTGTTCAATATTACCCCAAAACAGTCACTCAGCTCTGCCTCAATAAGGTGTTCTGTCCTGTACAGAGCGTTTGAGGTTGTTGGTGCATTTCAAGACAAGACCACAGACACACAGCACAAAGTGAAGCCTGCTGTGCACAGCTCCTCTGGCCTGATGCTGATGTAAACATCAGGAGCTGAGCGATGTCACACACTGCAGCTCTGCTTCACATCGCTCAGTGATCAGCTGCAGGGCATAGAGAGGTTTTGTGTCAGCAATCAACAGTCAAATATTGCCATTTGACCCAACGCCTATACACCCACTGGTGATGGAATCTTTAGCTCAATGCTAGACATTAACAAACACAGTGGGTGTACACAATTGTAACAGAATCCCACATCCTGCACTGTTTGAAACTTTTGAATCAAAATTGGCAACAGAGTAGCGTACACATCTCAAATCAAATAATTATGAAAGAAAACAGTGATTTAAAGTTCAATATTGATCCTGAGACTACAGGATGCAACTTGTACAAAATCTCGTCTATAAATGTCCTTTAAGGGCTTTTTTTTTGTAATATCAAAATGACAGCATTTAGGCCATATACAGTATGGCTTTAAATCTTAATAGGAAACAAAAAAAACTGAAATTTGAACATCTGGCCTATAATAGAAGAGAAATGATGAGAAATATGCTCGAAATCAATAGGCCTTTGAGATTACAATGGGGGTTTTTTTAGCCAACATATCAATTTCCAATAGCCATAATAAGCCAAGAAACGCCCAAAGAGTCGGTTAGATGAACAAATATTAAATGCCCCTTATTTTAACGCAATTAAGAAGCGGTGTCCTCCGTCAGATCAGATATTAAAGATGCACTAAACGGCGATCACTGCACCAATTACCGATAAGCATCATCTTCATAACTCTCATCATCACACACTCCGCCAACAACAACACTGTCGGAGATCCCGCTGGTCGCCTGCAGCTGCTGTCAGCATCAAACTCAGCACAGGGAGCAAATAAAGCACTTTAGTTCGACTGTCGCTGAACGGCGGCAGTGAAAACAAACTACGAAAGCCTCTGGTTTTTACAAAGGAGAGCTTCATATTCAAAATACAGCGACACCAATGCTGCAGCTCACACGGCTGTTCCGACACACACCTATACTGTGGTCTTAAGGTAAAGTATCCTCACCGTGTCCTTTTCGCTTTCAAACGGCTCCACGAGATTCAAGTTCGCGATGACTTCAACTCTCCGGTGGTCTTTTAAAAAAAAAATTGGCGTGTGTCCTCTCTATCTTGTGGATACACTTTCCCCGAGTGTCCCCGTGCACGCGTTATTTAGAGGCTTGTTTTAAGGAGAAATCGTCTCGCGCACAGCTCCCCCCTATGACGTCTTGGAGAACTGCACGCGGCAGCTCACCTGGAACTCCAGGTGCACTTTTCTACAAACGTGCACGCAAAAACAGGACATTTAATTTATCGGTCTGCTGTTTGCAACTCCTTAACAATTGTAATACCTGCAGAATTGTTGTCAAATAAAAACCACGTGACCGCCTGCCGTGTGTGGGTGTTGCTTCCCTCCTGCCCCAGTGGAGTTGTGTTCTTTCCCCTCTTACTCCAGTGTGAGAGGCAGCTCATGCTGGTGCCTGCCTGCCTGCCTTCTGAATAATTACTGTCAGAACTAGAGATTTATAACACACATTACATGCATCACCTCTTAGCTGCAATGCATTGTATGTATTGACAAACACATAAAAAGTACATTTGCAAAACACAAACAAGGCATTAGAAAAAGAGGAAGAGTCACTTTTCAAAGTTTCAGCCACTTATAATAAATTGAGATGGTGTTGAAAAGCCAAAGAACACACTCAGGAACTTTGATCCAATGTTGAACCCTTTTATTGAAATGAGAGTAAGGAGATTGGTGGTGTTGTTTTTATGCAGTAACCAATGAAGGATCGATAGCAGAAGTACAAACATACATGAGGGTTATTTCTGTAATGAAAGAAATAATGTAGAACAGAAAACTGAAATATATATTAACATTATTTGTGTTAATTGAACACATTTCATGAAACATAAAAAGAAGTACACATACAAACAAAGTCAAAAACAACAAGATGCACCCTGATGGATATAAAATCAAGTTAGCACAATGGAGGGCTACAGATCTATCAAAATGGAATTCAAATTATATTAATTCAAAGGCCTGGAAGTAGTCGAATAAAGAGGATCCATGTCTCCTTATAAACCATTTTGCCCCTGAATTAAAGTTATCACAAAATATACAAATAAATGACCAAACATTGATCTTTTATTCACCTGTTTTTTCTTGCATAGAATTGTTATGCAATAACAATACAACGTGATCTGTGCAGTGTCTCAGTAACACACTGCTGTACACAGGAAACAATAAAAAGAATAGTAATATTAAAATATCCCATTTTCTTCTTTAGTCCAGAGGACTTTTTTTTGCCCCAGCACATACTTACTGAGCAATCCTTGCCTTCAAATAAATATTTACTTTAATGTTAAATAATCCTAATTTCTTTACCTTTCACGTATTAATGTTTTTTTTTTTTTATCCTAATAATGTCTGTGGCTCCTGAGGCCCTCAGTAGGTCATTGCAGTGAACTATCTTGTACTGTGTGATGCAAAAGGGCTTGTGTCACCGCAGGCCTCGTAAAAAGCTGAGCACTAATTATTCATTTGGGGAACAAAACCTCTGCGCAGATATTCATCTAGCGGGGTACTCCTGCATACTATATGACAACAATGTTAAAGCAAAGATAAAGCTTATAGTGGAACCTCTTACCCAATGTTACCAGAATACAAAGTTTGAATTCAGAAACTATCTTACTGATCTATACACTGCTGTAAACCCTTCCCCATCGCTGTTCATGGCAGCAGGTCAGATGTTGACAGTGTGAGCATGTTTCTTGCACAGAGCCTTGTCTTTCTTGGAGAAGAATGCCTGACCTTCGAGACTAGTGGAGCAGACCTGTGGGGAGGAGACGAAGACATTCAAAGCATTGTTGTTATTCCCACTGTATAGCCTCTTGTATAGAGATCCAGCGTGTGTTGTGTCGGTGAGTTACACACCTACCGCACACACGAAGCAGGTGTCATGCCAGGTGAATCCTAAAGCCTCCAGGAACTTATCCCCCGCCTCGATGGGGAAGTCACAGCCGTGGCAGTTGGTCCCAAACAGCCTGTAGTAGTCTAGGTGAACAGAAAAATCACAAAATGCACTCTTTCTGCATGCATTCAATTATCTACAACACGTGACGGATTGTCATCAGCTTGCATCTGTACCTTGTTCACAGTACGGCTGTCCGTCCTCCATGTGGAACATGTTGCCTTTGATTGGCTGGTAGCAGGCGGCACAGACAAAACAGGACACGTGCCAGGTCTGTTTCAGAGCATTCATAACCTCCTGCAGAGAAAAAAAATAACAAACATGAGGAACAGTGTGTTGAAGTTATTATTTTTTTACACTGTCTTCATATTATCCGTCAAATCATTTAAAGGCAATTAAAGATGCACTGTAGATGTAGTTGAACTCCAGATGCATTTTGTGACAAGCTTTTGAAATGAGTAAAACTTTCTTTGTCTCTGTGTGTGTTTTAAACTGCATTTCCCAATGATCCCTCTGCATCACTGACACGACTACTTTACATTGCCATCATGGGTCAAGCAGCTAGTTGGATCTTTATTTCTTTAAGTGACGGAGGCAGTGGGTGATGTCAGTAGCATTGAGTCCAAGTTAACCATGAGAAAAACACAGAACAATTACCTCCACCTGCACAAACTCACCCCCAGAATCTTCTGGTTGCAGCGGCCACAGGTGGGAGCGAAGAACTGCTCGTAGCAGTTTGCACAGTACACCTGGCCTTTCTCCTCCACAAAGCCGTGTTCTACCAGGGAGGAATGGCAGTGATCACAGTTGAACTCCTCAGGGTGCCACGACATGCCCATGGCCACGAGGAAAGGCCCCCTGGTGAAATTAGACAAGGGACAGAGGGTGTGAGGAAATGACATTTGATTTAGTGCACCAATTACACATTTTGTGTAGTCTAAATAGAATTTTCCAGTCTTATTTTTTTTTTGCAAACATAGTTTTTCTGATGTTTGTTACCTGATGACACTGTTGCACTTGTTGCACATCGGGGTGCGGGTGCCAGCTGGGATGTGCTCCGCCCGCTGCACCAGAGAGTTGAGGTCCTGTGGGTGTGGCTGTGGGGTGGGACGGTCTGGACCTTTAGGAGTCAGGTTAGTAACTTTGCCGAATGAAGGAACTGCTCCACCCTTAGGAAAACCTGAACAAGCAGGAAGGAAAATAATTGGGATGGAAGCTTGCCCCATGCGACTGAATTCGATGAAGCTGTAGACAAGATGTACTTTTTTTTATTTGAAATATAATGAAGAATAGAGCAGACTAAAAATCCAAACACTGGGTCGCTACTTTGTAATTTCTTTGCGTTACCTTGAAGAACAAATGCACAGAGTTTCGATGTGTGCTCTCAGATAATTAATGGGAACAACCCAGTGATCTCTAACCTCCATGCCTGAAGCATTACTCGGCTGAGTGGGTCAAATCCACCCCACCTCACCCCACCCAACCCGGACAAGGGATCAATTTTTCTCACTGAGGGGAAACAACACGTTCCCAGAGTCAGAGGAGACACCTGCAAAAATAATCCCCCTCCTCTCATCTCCAAACACGCAGAGAGGATGCACAGTGTCTCATTCTTTTTCACAGCATTAAGACACATCCAGGACGGTAGGTCAGCGCCGTCCGCCCTCAGAGGGAGTGCTCGGGGGTAAAGGCATCGGGGACAGAGACACTATTGATAGAAAGAAATGTTATCAAAGACTCTGGAGGTCAAAGGACAAGTGCTCCCTAAATTTCCTTGAAACGGAGCAAACGGACTGAACAAACAGGAGCGGGGATGTGAGAAGACTGAGAGGGGGTTAAAGACTTAAGAGGAAGACTATAGAGAGTAAGTGTGGTGGTACTTTTATGATTGATTTGAAGGGCTGCTCTTTTTATAAACACCATTAACCACTTCTCAGTGGCGCAGTGAAATATGATACACATTTAGGTTCATCAGAGGAGAGTATAGACATAAGATATAAAATATAAATCAGACAGATCAAGAAGATATCTTGTTATGATAATGAATAGTACCATTATTCTGTTTTTAGGTCTATTAAAAGTTGTTTTTTTCTGCAATGTAATGAATGCTGTATTGCTGCAGAGACTTACACTGGAGTCAAACTATTTCGCACTCCATGAGCTTATCTGTGTAAAAGCTGTGCGCAGTGAGCTGGCTTTCAACAAGCTGTCACTTTAAAAATGAATCTTTCGGCGAGAGCAAAGACGGAGGGCTGAGCCACATTAAATAGGGGAGAGAGTGACACAAACATTTGTCACTGCCGTCTCCCTGTATGAGGAAGATAAGGAGAAAAAAAAAAAAAGTCAGCTTGAGAAGACGTCCAAACTGAATCACAGCTGGACTGAAAACCTCTTTCTGTCACTCTGAATGCAGACACACAGGGCTGGAAAGCGATGCAACGGAGTCAGAATGAAAACCTCGATTACAGCCCCTAATTTTAAATTGTAACATCTTTAAAATCGTTCTTCCAGCAACTTGCAAAGTCTGGATTTCTTAATTTCTTGCTTTAGGAGGACTTGCTTTTAAAAAGGCATAGATGATTAGTTCATTTCAATAATTTTAAAGATCACGCTGCACATTCCACACACAGCCACTATGAGATTCGTGCTTGTTTACTCAGACTGAAGTATGTGTTAATCTGATAAATAACAGAGCTCACAGTGAGCTAACTGTGGTCTCCCCCGCTCTCACCCTGTGGTACCTTTCAGCAGGCCGTTCTTAAAGGGCCTTCTGGGAAATCTGCAGGGCACATAGTGCATCTGTTCATGTATGAGTGCATACTTGTGTCTAAGTATTGCTAATAATGACCCCTGACTGATGCCTTTCAGCAAATATTTACCCTGACCACCTCGAGGTCTCGTGGCAGGGACGGCTGTATTTAAAGAGCTGCTTTCACACAAATTTAAATGCATAATTCTCATTTTCACAATCTATTTAACTGAGGGGATCTCAGGGAAAAGCCAATAATCTGAGCTCATTAACCGAATACCTCTGGTTTTTATGGAGCTCATAATCTTAAATGGCTTAGTGTCAGGCGTTAAAGCTGCAATAAATGTCAAAGCTGAGCAGTCGTGATTTAAAGGCGCAAGGCTGCCCTCTGTGGGCTGAAATAAGCAACTACATTGAATAAATTGTGTATACCACAAGGTGAGTCAGGGCAGTGAAATAACTGAAGTAAGGAAAAGTTTGAGTGTGTTAGTGTACCTGTTGGACCCCCGGGCTGGTAGGAAGGCTTGTTCTGGGCCGCCGGGCTTTTGTACGAGGATGCAGGGACGAAGCTGCCGTTTTTGGGTGCTGCGGCAGATTTGGAAAATGTTTTTGCTGCAGGCGAGGTGTGCACAGCTGGAGCAGTGATGTCAACTGCCTCACTAGGAAACACATATACACATTTCATTAAGATAATAACGAAGACAAACTTCTGTTTGCACTCCTTACAGTCACAGCTCTTACCACCTGTCTTTTTCTTTTGACCTTTTTTTGTGGGACTTTTTCTCACAATTTATTAAACACATTTTTACAAGTACAAAGTGTGGCAAATGTCAAGAATGGGACTTTGCAAACATTCAAATTGAACCTCGATTTGCAGACTAACGCTTAATGTGGTCCTTGCTTTGCAGGTTTACATTTGGATTCTGTTGGTGGAAATCTCAGTGACACGTGCAAATAATCAAGACAATTATGGGGCACTCTCTCTCTCCAAAAGGAAATGCGCTGCTGCCCACTGTCCAGAAGGTTGTCAATTACTGACATAAGGTAACAATCCAGGCAGTGATTCCATAGTATCTACTGTACATGAAGCGCACTCTACATTTATTTTAACAGAGGACTGCTGGTGTTTTTTAGCAACCGGTTGTGCTTTAATTCTCCTTGTAGAGCTTCTTTTTCATTTTAATCGTGTCTCTATTTTCTTTTAGCAGAGCAACAAAAAAAAGTTTGTAGAAAACGAAAAGCATAAATCTTCCCCAACACACATTGATGATGATGATGATGATGATGTGAGAAAAAAACAAGAGGCAAACTATACCAATGAGTTATGTTTGTGACTAGAGACCTACCAATTAAAACAGATCTGATTCCTATTGGATAAAGAAGTTTGGGCTCAATGATCAAATAAGTCAACTTCAGGCATCTTTTAAAGACTCAACTCTTCCTGGAGAAATAATTTACTGGGCGGATAAACTGTATCATAGAACAGTAGTTCCCAAAGTGGGGGTGGCGGGCCACCAAGTGGGGGCTCAAAAGATGCCTTCCAAAAAAATACTAAAAGTTGAAAATCATACGAAATTTGTATATTTACCCATTATTGTAAACATATATACAACATAAGTTGTATATGTCGTAAAGTGTAATTAAAATAAAATAATATATGTAAAAAAAACACTTAAAAGTAAGTTTGCACAACACAGCAACAATAAAGGTGTCTGCTGCTGTTTATAGAAAAAGATAGAAACACCTGTGTGTCTATTAACTCCTCTCAGTGCTGCAGTCTATACATGAAAAACACTCCTATTCTGCCTCTAGCCTTTCTTACAAAAAGTACAAGGCATATTTAAAATGGTTTCATGTTTTTAAGGTTGTTGTATTCTTTTGTGTATCCAGAGTTCGGACAGACCTATTGCCGTGGGCGTGGCTCTGTGCTATGTCATATGCCTTTATCAAGTCTATGGCACCCTTATTATGGGGATCACAAGCTAAAAAGTTTGGGGACCCCTGTCATAGACCTTCACTTTCTACACATTTTTCTATGGACAATTTTTCTTTTTTTATGCCAGAAGAAAAAAGCGAAGCAGAAGAGAAAGGAAGGAGCAAAGACAGGAAATCAAGAAAAGTTTATTGAAGTGAAACAATCAGAAGCGGACAAATTAAACCGCTTTGGTTAGTGAGAAAAGAGAGGGAAAAAAACGAAACACAGATGTTTAAGATCAGGTAAAGTATACAGAGGAAAAGAAGGCTGAGGTGTAAACCCTGAACTACAGGACCGTACATATCAAAGTACAAATCCCTCTTAATTACATGCATGCATTTTAAAATAGAACAACTTAAATCCAGATAATATTCACTTTAAAACATGTTTACAACAGGTTGACTACCTGGATATCTGCAAAAACCATCATCTTGTTTAGCGTTTGTTGTTTAAAGTTTGTAATCAGTATGTTGACTTTTTATTTTATAGCGTTCCAAATGATTCATTGAAGTAAAATATTGGTCGAAAATAAAATAAATTAAACATTAAACAGGACAAATAAAACCTTGCCAACTACACATTTAGCAACCGCGCTGAAACATCGTGATGCCGATCTCTCAGCTTGTTGTACTGCTGTCCTATGACTTCTGGGTCCAGTTTGTTCGCTCTGATTATCCCCCAAAAGACAGGATGAAAGGAGAACACAGAGAAAGGGGGAGAAAAAGGAGAGAGTTGGAAGGTTACAGAAAAGTATGAACAGAAGAAATAGCACTAGTAGAGATGAAAAGAAAACTAGATACTTCTTATTGCAGATCTGTATTAAATTATAACCCAAGACAGATGTTTCATATCTTCTCTCTTATAGGAAGAATACACAGACACAAACTCTCACTAACACGAGAAGAGTAGGAATCCCCTCCTGGCAGAGCTTCTATTACCCACAATACCACTTAATTACCCAGAGTTTCCAGTGAGTGACACACTGATTGGTCTGGGCTGTGGTTCGGAGGAGGGTAAAACTGCGTTTACTGCAGATTAAATCGACTTAAGACTGAGTGTAGTTGTAGAAATCACAGCCTATGTTAAGTCTGAAGTGGTTTCCTCTCAACCATCTTAGTTTTCAAGCACTCTCTGTGTGGTTTTTCATATTAAGCCTTTAATCAAGCATGATACTGTGGGAGCACAAGATCAGGAAATCGTGGTTTAACCCATAAATTAGAGGCTCCCTGACACGCCTTCATGACAACTCTGAGGCAAATTCTGAGTTTGATTAAGAACTTACAGCAACAGTAACAACATGTATGTTTCACCAGACGAATGAAACCCAGAGAAAAAGAGAGAGAGAGAGAGGATGAAAACTCACAAACACACACCAGAATTGATCATATCCAAAAACCACCAACCACTTACTTCTTCCCACTGTTTTCTGGAACTTGTTCTGCAACAATGAAGGGACAAAAAGAAAGACAAAAAAAACATGTTAAAAAACAATGCTTCTCTTTATTGCGCCACATTTGGTTAATCCTGTCATAGCAAGCACTGCATGAATGTGTGGCTGCCATCCCTTCAAGCAAGACCAAGATGGGACTTCCTGGACTTATCCCCCCCCCCCAACCCCTCCCTCAAAATTGTTCACAGCTGCAGAAACACAACGACAGACTGGATTCACATCAAATGTTTGAGGATTATCAAATACTTTCCTCACCAGTCTCGAACAATATTCAACGAAGAGAAAGAAAGAAAGAAGGCAGTATCTCATCTTACTTCATTTTAATAAATGGAAATCCGTAAATGTCATTTTACATCAGTTAATGAGATGCTCACACACACATGGAAGGAAGCCCAAAGCCACAGTCTACTCGTATAACCATCAGTGTCACTTTTGGCCAAAAAAGTAATATCAGAGCTATATTAAATCAAACAGTGATGAAAGATTTCTATAAAACTCTGACGACAGGGAGTCTTGTCAGTTAGCTTTTAAAAAAAAATCAGAAATAGAAAGAGGAACATAGATAAACTATTTCAAAAGCTCCTGAGGAACTCTCATGTTGTTTTGATTTGGTGCCTCTTGTAGACAAAGTGAGACTTTCTATCTATGTACTGATCTTATCCTGTACATGTGTGATTAGTGTTTTCTTAGAAACTCGTTTATTCTAAATATTTAACTCACAATGAATCTTCCGTATGTAAATACGTTGATGTCTGTTTCGGCAGTATGTTGTTAATCGCCCTGTCAGACACCTACAGGGTTGACAACAACTGTATACAAATCAGTGTTCTCACTGATGGCCTTGTTTGCTCATGCATGATGAGGTATCAGTATTAATTTTACCAAGCAAACTCCTCACTGCAGCTTTAAAAGTTTCTAAAGATTATATCTCAAATGAAAACCCTTCACTTTGATCCCCTTGGAATGGGAACATGACAGAATATCCCATGTGCAGCCAACATGAAAATCTTAAATGACATGACAGTAATACCAGCAATGCTTAATTACAATCAAATAATTACTAAAGCTAAACATATTTCAGCCAGTTTCAACACTAAAAAAATAAATGTCTTTAAGCAGAGTGGTAGTCTTTAAAAACAAGTAAATAGAGGTTGGTACACACCATTTTCAGTGCCGGTGAGCTGGGCCAGGATACGGAAGGAGCGGGACTGGGAGGTGCCGGTTCTCGGGTGCCAGTCCTCCGTGTCTCAATCAGACGCTTCTTGCTGGAATCACTGAGTGGGGACGTGTGATTCTCAGGGTCCTCAAATGGTTTCCTACAGACAGATCAACCAAATACATATAAGGTTAATGACATGGAAGTATCTGTGTTTAAAGGAAGTATTTAAAAGATCCCCACTGACACAAACAACATGAGGTTATCACATATTTAGATATTAGTCTAACCCAACCTAAATCACAAGACATAAATGCTCCAGTTTAGCCACACGCGAAGTGACATTTATAGAAACAACCAGCACACGCAGCACAAATATAGTGCTATGCAATTAGTGATCTACATGTGGCTTAGTATGACCTTACTAATTACATATATCACAGTTACCTCCTAGGTCTAGTTGGAGGTGGGGTTCTGCAGGCGAGCATTGAGAAGATGAGGAAAAACACACAAAGGCAAAACAAGAGTCATAAATACTAAAGTTATATATAGTGCAGTGTATACAGCAAGATACTGTGCTGTTTATATGGGAAAGTTACAATACTGGTCTGACCTATACTTACTTAGGACTTCTCTGAGGCTCACTATTCAAAGGGAAAACCACAGAAGAAGTCAGCAATCAGTCTAAATGTAATTCCCTTAAAAATGAGCTTAAAGGTTAAAGCAATTAGATTTTTATTTCCCAAAGGAGTGAAATTAATCACGACTCCTTATTTGCAAGAGTGAGGTTACAGACGCATGTGACAGTTACCATATTTCACCACAAGGTGGTAGTAATGTGTTGAAGTTAAATGAGCTGTTTTTTACGATTTGAAGGCACTTTAGAATGCAATAATATTTATGTGAAGTGTTTACATGCACTGTTTACTTCAAGGGCTATTTAAAACCATGAGTCAGTCTTGATGTCAAAAATCCAAGTGTGCGCAATTTCTGTCCTGTGTGTGTGTGTGTGTGTGTGTGTGTGTGTGTGTGTGTGTGTGTGTGTGTGTGTGTGTGTGTGTGTGTGTGTGTGTGTGTGTGTGTGTGTGTCAGGTGAGTGGATGTGAAGGATGATGAAAGGCAGCACAAGTCAGGCTATAAACTCAAAGCGGAATAAACTCAGTGGTGGATTTTCTTGCTTTGAGTAAATATACCGGCAGCAGCAGCAGCAGCAGCAGGTGGAGCTGCACAGATGCAGAGCTGCGTGATATTAGCAGCCGTCTGCGCTGACAGGCTCGGCTGCATTACATGTAAATACAGTACGGGCTAGCACAGAGCCGAACACTGTAGAGGAAAATGAATGAGCTGTGTGATCTGACCCCCAGTGGGTGTCCTGCGGTGTCTCAGAGATGGGATTATTTACGGGTGTTTGCATGGCTCTTGAAATGAGCATGTACAGTGAGTGGATGAGCACGATTGTGAGGTTTGTGAGTGGTTAGCTCAAAGAGGTGCACGCATGCCTTTGGTAATCATAAACCAGAGAGATGTGAGGGCTGTAATCACATCCTGCATAGTTAGAAAGCTACTGCAGATCATATATTATCATTCTCAGCACTAACTTGGTGTCTGTCTCTCCTTCCTCCTGTTGGCAAAAGAAAGGGGGTAGAAGGAAAAGGGTTGAAGCCAAGAAAGAGCATGAATAGACCACTTTTTTGAGATACAGAAAGTAGTCCCAACAAATGGCATCTAAGTGAAAGGCCCTTCTGAGAAAATGTGCATAGGAAGGAAACCACAGACAGAACACTCAAACAAAGACATGCAGGTCAGGAACAAAAAAAAACAAAAAAAACATGCTGCAACAAATACACTCTACCTCTGAGCTGGCAGTCCAAGATATAGGGCGACAGAAAGTTTGCAAGGAAAGCACATTTAAACACACAAATCATTAAAAGTCATTAAAACGGATCAGTGACCTATTTTTGTCAGGTGAACAAGAGACAAGAATGAAAGTCAAATCACTTAAACATGTCTCAAAGCCCTGCAAACCCAATCAGTGAGCCAAATCCCTGCTGAAGAAGCTCAGTCTAGCCAAAAGTAGCTCTGTCCCCGGTCCCTGAAAGACCAGCTCTGCCAGGATTCTGGCTAATTAGAAACAGGTTTTTACAGCAGCAGTGCCTGTTGGACAGACTGTGTGTTTGGCAGAGCAGCAAAGCCCAGTGTCGATTATAGATAGGCAGGCAGTAGCATCAGTTAGCATGTTGTCTAGACTCTGTTCCCTTTCTAGTTGCCCTGTGGAAGATTTGAACAAGATGTGCAGCATGCCTGGGATTTTCCTTGTGAGCAGCTGTGTGAAAACATGCATGATGGGCTGAGAGTGAATGTTGCCTTTTGAAATTAGACACATATTCTGGGCTGAAATGAGGCATTAAGAGGGGCAGAGTGGGATATTCTATTTTCTTTATTAAATTAAATAATGTATGGTTGGAAAGCTAACAAGCTCATTGATGTGTGAACCACAGCTTCCTCTCTGCCTGAAGCAGAGCATGCACATATGATACGGTATACAAAAGTTTGCTCTGACTAATATGATTCGACAAGAAGCACTCCAAAAGTGCTGAAACAGTGTGGAATGGCACTGGGACGTTAACTGTGTGTATTATAATTCTCTGGTCTCTCAGAATCACACGGGCAAACAAAACAGCTGTTAGACACAACAGACACCTTTTTAAGGGTTGTGTGACACATGGTAACAGATCAATGTAAATAATACAAAGAACTGTTTTGTTCTCCAGTGTAAAACACTAGGCAATGCAGCAGTGAAAAAACTGCAGTTCCTCTAGTGTCCACATGAGGCTTCCTCCAAAAGCTAAGGCCCATTAGCCCATTAGAGCCCTTATTAAGAGGCCCATTTTTACAGCAGTAATAATCATGTTTACAGTCTGGTTCAAAAATGGTTCGGGTCTTTATAGCTTATTTATTTACCGGAAGTTAGCTGGAGTCTGTATTTCCACCATTGTTAAGCTTCATGACATCACTTCAGAAACCAATGGGTGATGTCACTGAAACTGCGTCTATGTTTTATACAGTCCAAAGCTGAAACGTTTAGATGTATCAAATGTAACAAATGTGCAGACATTGGTTTTAAAAATATGACTTGCCGACAGTCTAGTGCCAGTCAAGTTGTGGTCGTTGCTTATTCATCTTTCCTACAATAATCCGCCTGTAAAATCAATATCACACGGCAGGTCATGCTGTTGAACTGCAAGTTGGCACGGCGGTACTTACCTTCGTTTTAAAGCCACAGGCCAACCTCGAGGGGGATACTGTTTAATATTTTGCACTTACACCAACATGAACGGTGATGAGTGGTAAACTGAGATCCATACACTGTGTTTTTTTCTGGATAAACCATGGACCACGTAAGAGAAAACATCTAGTAAGTGGGTTTGATGAAAGGTACCTACCCATTGAAGTTTTCCGACAGCCCCTGGCTCTCCAAAAGACCCCGTCTCTGCCCAATAGCCACCTCACAAGCATTGTTGCTGGAGTACAGGTTGATTGGGGTGTTATAGACGGAGGGCTGTGGGACATTAGGATGGGAAGGGGGGGCTGTCACTCTGGCTGGAGAGGAGGAGTTAGATGAGGAGGAAGAGGAGTATGGTGAGGTGAATGGGGAGCGACCAGAGCTGGGCTTTGGGACTAAGCTGGCTGGAGTTGAGTCCGGGGGTGCCGGGCTCGACTTCAGCGGGAATGGAGGCTGTGGTTGAGAAGGGGCAGCTGGTGTAAAAGCGGATGATGCAGAGGGGATGGTGGCTACTTTGGGAGCGTCTGGGATGGGAGAAGCAGTGACTGCCCTACCGCCAGCACCAAAAGGCCTGGCAGTCTTGTTGTAAGCAGGACTGGGCGAACTGGATGGCCTGGTGTATGTGGTGCTCGGTGCAGGGTGAGTGATCGGGACAGGCTTTATGATTTCTTGAGGTTCGTCCTGGATAGAAAGTGGAGACCCAGAGCATGCACACACAACAAATCCAAAATCAACTCATGCATAAGAACAAGCATTTCCAAAAAAGCACTGCACAACAATCAGAATCAAACTATGTCTTCAAAACGAATGCAATTCATGCTAGGAGTGCTTTAAAATGTGTATTCTCATACAGTGTGCATGCCAAACCAATCTGGGTTCTGACATTGTCTCAGAAGGGCAAAAGAACATGCTATTTTCTATAAAATGGTATAATAATCTTGTACAAATGAAATTCAGGTAAACTTAAATAGATATGTATAATATGTTATGTGAATATTTTGCTTCTTACCCTAGGGACTCCATTTTTAGGGGCACTGGAGGGTCTGTGAAGAAAGAAAGGAAATTATGAATAAACTGCACAGACAACATTTTTTTAATCAGCCATAAAAATGTGACAATGTAAGTTCCTACAGATGAAAGAATACGACTGTTCTGAGAATAAAGCTTTTGGATTTACGGAGAAAGACTTTAATTATTCTAAGTAGTCTGATAGGGCAACATGTTAGAGATGATGAAACTGTGTTTCATGTAGATATGTCCTCTGGGACAAGCATTTAACTCTATCATTTTGTTTAAGAAATATGTTTTATTCACAGATGATTTCAATTTTTTTATGTCAATATCTCAGATGTCAGAGCATTTATTAAACATCCACATGGGGGAATTTTCCAAATAAAAAAAGCCTTATTGGGTTATAAATATTTAAAATAAAGTAACATATCAATAGTAAGGTTCAAGCTTTGGACCTTGGCTTGCATTGCAAACTGAAATACTTGGGAACAAATGGCAACCTGGAAAGCAGGAAATGTTCAAAGCTGCATGCTGTGGAAAATGGTTAACAATAATTATATGCAATTTGTGGCTAAGGTGCTCAAACATGCAAAACCACCACTATGTGTGAACTCACTCTACTTCACGGCGTGCGTCCACTTGCACACTGGTGTTGAGGTTTGTTGTATTTCTGATTTACACTTATGATTGAAGCAGCTACCTCAGTTTGATCACCTATGGGAGGGGAGGCTGGTCTGTCTGTGTGTTCTCTTCAAATGGACAGACACCAGCAAGGATCCTCACAACAACAAAAATATACCTTGATGTAACAAAAGGCCTTTGGTAATTTAGATGTCTTAAAACTATCCCATTGATAATGAATTAGTAAGATCTAGACAGATGCCTTTGTTGACAATGTGTGTCCTATATTTTGTCCAGACATGCAGACAATGCTTCCCTAATTACTCGTTAAATAAAACAACAAACACAAGAAAAAACCAGACAGTGAGTCAGCATGACTGGTTCCGGACCAGGAGCCCTGGCATGTCCTGCTGGTGTCCCTCTTTTCTCTGCCATATTAGGGAAACAATCAACAAACCGTCATGTATTTCCTCTCTGACTGGGCCTGGCACCCGTTTAATAAAAAGCCCCACCCTTCCACCAGATGTTGATGTAATCTGTGCCCATACTTCCATTTACAGTTTCCACTTAGCAGCTCATATAGACTATGCTTATTTTCCAATGTGCTTGTATTATTGGACATGCTTATGGAGAAGCAGCGCACTGTGCCAGGGAAAACAGTGAAAGGTCCAAAGATCAAACAGCACATTCCCTTACAAATGGTCTACAATGAGTCAGTGTGTGTCTGCCATCAGTGGACAGAGCTGGGTGGATCCACGCTCTATCTGTCTTTTCCCATAGCAAAGTGAACAAACACTTGCTGGGGTGGTCCTGCTGACATCTGCTCAGCTCAGCCCCTCTGCGCTGTCCCGCTCCCTGCCGAGCTGGACCTACTTTTAATCTGTTGTGACAAAGAGACAAACACTGTGTGTGTGTGTGTGTGTGTGTGTGTGTGTGTGTGTGTGTGTGTGTGTGTGTGTGTGTGGGCCCATCGACGAAACATTTACTTTATGGGTGTCCATATGTGAATGTACAAGGTAAATCTCAACTTAACTGGACATTCTCATTATACCAACTGGTCTGTTGCATCTAAATGGTGATAGGCAACGGTGTTTGACTTTAGAACCTTGAAACAAACTTGTGAATCCAAACATTTTCTTTCTTCATTTAGTGGATGGTTCAGAACATCTGACAGAGAAATGGCTGTGCAGTTACTGAGAGCATACTGTGTCTGTGTTTGTAGCAAATGGACCATTTCTTAAAACCTTTTCCTTTTCAGTATCCCCGTCTTACTATTTTTATCAACATGCATCATACTTAATGCTCAAATTATCTATTTATCATAGTGAGATAAATACACGTATGCATGTTGTGAGACAGTTAAAAAAAAGTTATGTTTATGTTAAAGAAGAGGATTAAAGAGGAAAACTAAAGTTATATATATTTAGTCTATTATTCTTTAGTAGCACAACAATATAAACATTTGAGGAATCTGTCATCATTTATATTTCATGTATCAACTCATTTTTTTGTCCTCCATATTAAAAAGACTAAGTGCTCATTGAGAAAAGCAAAACAATATAGAAATGCCCAAACTGAAGCTTATGCAGAATATAACTGTGTTATTTATAAACTATTAGTGCTCTTTTTAGACGTCCTAGTGTCGTAGTAGTGGAGTGTCATTGAGCAAATATTAATCGATAAATAATTTCCACAGTCTTACACTGATTTCTCCGCGGTTTAACTGCACTCTGGAAAGTCAAAGTGTTTGTATTATGAACAGGTTCAGTAGCAAAGATAAATCCTGCTCCTGTTGAAGAGACAGTCGTTGCTTTTCTCAACCCAGAACACACTTCATCTGGTTCCTCCTAATCCAATCAGGGTGCCTTGGTTTATTACATTACGCTGATATCTGCAACATACATTTATGAAGTGCATGTTTAGACTGTAAACCTTGCAACAAAGATAAGAAGGTATGTGCCAGATATAATGCAATAAAATATCCTGATAGGAAAAGTATATTTGTAAGAGGGGAAAAAATGAAGCGTGGTTTTCATCAACACAGACTTGTACATGCACCCATTCTGTCACACACACACAAATAAGAGTAAGAGGAGGTTAACCAGAGCAAAAAAGCCAGAGGGAAAAGTGCACTGATGCATTTCCATCCTACCCCTGTCTCTTTACGAGCCAAGAGAAACAGTGTGGCGTATGGCTTTTGACTGCATGATGGAGGGGCTGAAAGACACAGCTTTCTCACCACACACTCACAAAAGTCTCACCAGCTTACAGACACGCATGTGTGCTTTTTTTTCATTATGCTGCAAAGTAAGAGTAGCCTTAAATTATGCTGGAGGAATGTTCATTTCACAGCAAAACGTTGCATAGAAACATCTTGAATGATTTTCTGTAGTGACCGTCTGACTCCAAGCATCTGTCACGGCTTTATGATATCATTTTGACTTCCAACATTTGAATGCTGGTCTGGAGCCAGATTTGGGACAGTTAATAAATGACAGCATGCTGACTGAAAGGAGTAGAATTTACACGAGTTTTGTTATTCCACAACCGAGTCAAGTCAGATCTGCCCTCTCGTGTTTAACTTTAGTGATACATGTTGAAGCTCAGTGGGAGACCTGGAAAACCAAATATATGTCTAAGTTTAACCACTGTGTGAAAATATTTAGCAAAGCATGGAGGAGAAGAAAAACAGGAAGGAGGAAAAATATAGGAAATAAAAACAAACAAAAAAAAAAGGTCCAACAGAGGGATGTGGAATAAGCGGGAGTGGAAAACAACTTTTCTCTCTGTTTTTCTGTGCAGCCGGCCTATCCGCTCAGTGGCTAAACTCACAGCTTGCGTCTGGCTCAAAGCCTCTCCTGTTTCCCATGTTGCTCTACTCTTTACTGTTCCCTCATACATCAACAATAATGAGAATCTTAGAGGAGGGGATTGGGCTTTTAAGTGGCGCTCAAGAACAGAATAAAGATACAGATTTAAAACAGTGACAGCGCTAACGATAACAGAAACATGGCTGCTATTTCCAGAGTGAACGCTAATTAACATTTAACTAGACGGGCCTGTTGCTGCTGTGAGTTGCCCGGATACGTCACTAACATGGCTATAGCGTGTGCCTTATGTGTTTGCACACGTGTCAAGTACGGACTCTGTGCACTTGTACATATCAGCAGTCAAATGTTTTATGACAGAGGGTGTTCATACCAGTTGTTTCCATGTATCTTTTCATGCCACTCTCAGGAGACTCTCTGGTCCTTTGTGCTCAATCTTGGTGAGATAATTGTAGAATAAAGGTAAACCACGAGACAGGACAGAAGATATTCAGATTTGTATTTCATTGCTTTTGGAAGTCCAACCTCTAGAGCGAGGAATAGAGCCAGCGGGGGAGTGAAGCAGTTCTTCTTAGGGTCAGATCTCTGGACACAGAAACCACAACAGAATAAACTGCAGTTCTACGTAAACTGTCTTTTAAATGCCGCTCCAAGTGTTGTGAAAACAAGCCCCCATCCTTTCTTTCTTTTTTTTTTTTCTCCGACCGCCACACCACATCTGGCTAAGGCTGCCAGGAGTCCGAGGGGCTGTGGGTGATAGTGGATTGTCCTCTGCTTCACCCTGTTCAATGAGACCTGCTGGGTGTTCATTGACCATGTATGAGAATATCTGAAGATTTAACCTAAAGCCGCTTAGCTTAGTTGTGTAAAGCTGCTGTAATAAGCGTGGGTGCAAAAGACAAAAAAAAAAAACCCATCAGTATCATAAACTGGAGAGCTTCAGTGGGACAGTCAAACAGGTATCTTTAACATGAGACTGCAGAAGAAGAAAAAAAGGCGGTTACATAACCCCGAAGAAGAAGAATTTTCCTGGAGCAAGACGATACCGTCATGTGTTACATTTTTTTTTATCATGCAATATCTACTGTTTATCTGGTGTTAATGACCTTTATATCTCTCAGAAATGCGTTCTATAATCTCCCCTACTTTCACAATAACATGGAAACATTCTAATGGTGTGCAGGCCGGGCACAAATCTAGAGTAAAACATTAGAAAATGGTTTAAATTGCAGAGTTAGTGTCAATTGGCTTTGAGGTTTTGGAACCAGGTGCAGCCAGCCACGAGCCCTGGGGAGTGGAGTTTCATTGCGCTGCGCTGCATATTTCAATGACAATAAATAAACATCAATTATCATACTTTCCTAAGGAGACTTCCCACGGCCGGCTGGTGGAGCTGACTGTTGGCTGCTCGGCACCGTTCAGTCACGTAATAGCAGAACAAATAGTACCCATAAAATTCACTCGTTATTGCTCGTCGCAAACAACAACTGCAAGTAGCCTACGATGTCAAAGTCACAGGACTACAACTCAGAAAGGAGTGGATTCAAACTACAAAAAACATGTTTTTTGAGGTAAATGATTTTGTGTAAGTAAAAAATACCCTTAATAAAGTAGAACTCACTCATTAAGGGCAACCAGTTTGTTCTGTTCATCAAACTACAGCATTAGCATTAGCTATAGCGTGTGCTACCACACACGGCTTTGACATATTTTCCTGTTGTTTTCCACACTCAGAGAATGAAACCTGCTTTCTCACTTTGTAACCGAACACACAACAGCTCTTCACTCATTAAGACTCATCTGGACAGTGCATTCATGATTTAAAGTACACTGGAGCGACAGGATGGGGAGAGTACTTTGAAAAACTCAAAGTCCATTTCCTCCCTGATGAAAACTTGTTTTCTCTTCACCTAGCAACAGGGAAATAACTGAAACATTTTCGCTTCAATCACTGAGACTGGATTTCTGCCTAGACAATGTACGGAAAGGCTGCATTGTTTGTGAAACTTTAGTGATGTGAATTGCATACTTCTTTCTGCATTAAAACACCTCTAGCCATTTGAATGATGTCACAGTTATTTTATAACCACTTGGATTTTATACACTCTGGTTAATGTGCAACTGTAGGTGTTATTATCGACTTTACGTGTTCTGGAGTCAAATCCAGTTTGACTTAAGGATAGACTTGATTTTATCAGGATAGCAATGTGAAAAGTGCTTATACAAATGTTCTATTTAGAAACTGTCTTTAATGTTTTAAATAGCTTTAAAGAGAAAGAGATATTAGACTGTAGTGAAACCTCTCAGTCTGACATCATTTTACACACCTGCACCATGCAGCACAAAGTGTCTATTTAAGGACTCAAGAATGTTAACAATGACGAAGTGACATAATGGTACAAATGTGTAGTCACATTCATCATGTGTCGGCACTCTTGGAATGTTTTGTAAGACTGAAATAGTCGGTTTCGGTCAGTGATCATCGAATACATGAATCCAATCCCATCTCTCTTTGTTATTGTTGTTGTTTCATATTTATCTCTACATGTTTTTGTTACATTTGTCGAGCTTGCTGTCCTCATCTCTTAAGCGTACATCTATTCTGTGTATGTACTGTATGTACATGAAACACATACACATGGCCAATAAAACTGGTTCTGAAATGGAATAATGGCAAGAGAATGCTCTGCCTTACAGAGAGAGACTGTATTAAAAGTGATGCCTCTTTATGAGATACAAAACCAGATCATCAGAGAGAACATTGATTCTGACTATTTGTTATTTTCAATGCCTTGTCACCTCTGCTTTAAATTCTGTTCTAAAGTTGTGTAGATACTGTGGATGAGAAAGCATACAGGGAAGTGTGGCTAGTAAGTGTCTGATCCTGTTTTCTATTTTGCACTTAAACAATAGACTTAACTGTGCAAAGTATCAGGTTTTTAAAGAACTGTGTTTCCCATTTTCAGTACAATAATAATAAACCAACCATCCATCAACTATCTTTACCACTTTTCCCATTCGGGGTCGCCCACTTGTCACCCAGGGCGAAAGGCTGGGTTCACCCTGGACTGGTTGCCAGTCAATCACAGGGCTGACAACCACAGTCACACTCATGTTCACACCTTCTCGATGTGAAACAACTATGCTAACTACTACACCACCATGCAGCCCATAGTCAACCATGTGTTTCCAAAAAAATCGTTATGGCACTCAATACTGTATGAACATTAATTAGCAAAACAATACAAAGTTCCTTAAAAAAAAAATGCAACTATATGAATCAAACCCCAATCATGTTTCATCTGTAGAAAGGTAGCGTTTGTTGTTTAGTGGTGTTTTTTACTTGTAGTTTACATGCGATGAAAATGTTTGATGTTTCATAGTGCATCCATCCCCCTGCAGTAGATTACATGCAGCTGGAGAGCAGGGCTATTTTAGGATCGTTTTCCCACGATTAAAGCACAGAGGCTCCTTTCTGCTTTGATGTGGTGATGGAGCGACACGACATGCAAAGCAGGCTTTGATTTTTTCTGTCAACATGTTTTACAGCTTGGGGAAGTGTGCGTGCTTCGCCTCCATTTGTTTGTGTCTTACGCCAAAGAGTCGCTTCTACACACTCTATACAATGTACAGAGTTTGGCTTAAGTTCTCAAGTTTCCATTCTTGACTCGTCAAATAAAATGAACAATTCTATGTCGAGTTTTCTCAAGAGGATGAAAAGGTATCTGACAATAAGTGATACCTGTAAGAAGTTGTTTCAAGTTTTTGTTATGTCTTATGTATATGATGTTTTAAAAAAAACTCCCGACGACAAAACCTCAGCCAAAAAAGTTCCTGGTACTGAAACGTTTCTTGGTGGACTTCAGATGAATCGCTGTTTTCTTTTCTTTAAAGCAAGTCTTTAGGAGCATCAGTTGAAACATCAATTCAGTACTGAACTTTCCCAAACTTTGTACTGAACTGTTCTTTAATGAGGTTAATAGTAGATCATCCAATAAACAAAGAAAACAAGTAAAATTAAACAGACGTCCTTAAACAAATTAAAATTAAAGACCATTTTGTTTGTTTACAATCCTTGTTATTGGTTTCAGTATCAATTCCCCCAACCGGCGTTAATAACAATATGCATTCCATTTATGAGTAAGTAAATAATGTGTGTGATGTGTTGCACTGTTACCTCTGCAGAGTGAGGCTGAGATGGTCTGTGCAGGCCTTTATCTTGTTCTGGGCCTCCAGGTGATTCATGCTGTCTGTGGAGATGCCATCGATAGACAGAATGATGTCTCCAATACTCATCTTGGCTCTGGCTGCCTTTCCTCCATCAGTGAGCTGCAATGATAGATAAAACAACAACAATAAGAAAACTCAGTTGATGCATGATGTAAGAATGCTATGTGTTAACATCTAGAACTTGTGGATTTGTGTTTACATGTTGAAGGCATATGAAATGCTGTGAATGCATCATTTGTTGATTTACTTCTTGTAATCACTAAGTATTGTGTTCTCCTTTCCGTTTCCCGTCTTATGCAACAGTTGTCAGATAAGATAGGCATTTTTTCTCTCTACAACAACAACTATGAGACAGGATTCTACAACCACCAAAGTAATATATCCTTTTGAAGAATACTAAAATGCATGACAGATGAAATATACACACTGATAAAAGCCTTACAACTATGTAACTCTAATTTAAGTATGTTGCAACTGAAAATGTACATTCTTAAGTTCTTACACATATTTTAATAAAGACTTACAGCATCATGATGTGTGGGTTTTGCCTTTTTCCAGGGATTTCAATTTCTAGAATATAGATGTGCAAAGGAAATTCTCCCTTGTTAAACACATCAAGTAAATATTGTGTAATAATCAGACTGATGTCTATATTTAAGGTGAATATTCACATCTCTGGTTTTAAAAAGAGGCCATAGCAATTGCTTTTCTGGATCCTTTAACCACATTCAGAGATTTGAAGCCATTGTAGTTATTTTTTGCTTTCCCCTGTATATCTGTAATTGTAAATGCTTATTTTAAAGAGCTTTGGCCTTTGGTTTGTTCTCGTCGTGACCCTGCCTCACTATCCATAGAAGGTATATTTTGGCGATCACACAAATACCTTTTGTCAGTCTTTGAGTACTTGCCATGTAACAAACCTTTTTTTGAACTCTATGCATTGTAAACTAAAGATGTTATTTGTCGGAGGGTCATTGGGTTGTATACGTATGTTCCAAAGCAAATTAAAAGCTTTTTACTTTTAATATGGAAAATGACAGAAAACCTTGATCCACTTTCAGAGGCAAAACTAATTTCATACATGATAGTATTGCAGCCAAATATGGTAGCGAGGGCTTAAACCTCAAAGCTCTACTACTATTAGTCCAACACAGAGTAATGCAGGGTTGAGGGTTTTCAGGTCATCCACTGAGACATTTAACACGCAAGAAGTAATGTAATAAAACCTTGACGATGGGATGACTCTCTACCAGGTGTGGAAATCGACCAGTGATTACACAAGGCTGTGCACAGCTCATTCATCACTCAGCGCACTCTTAAAGCACCTCCAACATGTTCAGCCATGCTGAATACAATCATGGGAAGGTAACAAACTCTGTTTACTTATTTTATAATGGCTGTCATGTAATTTGTAATGTGCCATGTGTCATATCTTTATGTCATCTTTCAGCAATTTAATGGAACACAACTCATTTTGCCTAAAGCCTTAGTAATGACGCCATGTGATGACGCAGCTCAGGTAGGGTGAATGAATATGTTGAAAGACTGAGAAGTCTAATGAAGAGGGTGTGAAGCATGATGTGCGGAAAGTTTTGGACTTTGTCTTGAAACTCTACTGTCAGAAAAAACGTAAAATGCTTCAACACTATCATACAGAAATCTACCCAATATTTCTATGACCCCCCCCCCCATAAAAAAAAACCAAAAAAACCAAAACATACAAATGAAAGATTTACACAATCAACCTCAACCAATCTACCCAAACTTCTAATGAGATATATAACATCCGAATTAAAATGGCATCCCTCACGGTTCTATTTTAGGACCTGTTTAGTTAATAGTTGACTGGCTTTATCGCTAAGAAATTTTTGTACAATTATTTTCTACCTCTAATATCATAGATTTAAAAAGGGCTTCATGAAAATGAATATTGCTAAAAACGATAAAGTGACTCAACTTGATTTTCCCTTTCAAGTAATGCTCTGTTCGAACACTGGAGTGTAGTAACTTATATAAACGGGCTCTGATTTACACGATTAAAAAAAATCTCTCAAAACAGCAAGAGAATGCATTCTATTACATTAACTTTAAGACTGTCCTGTAGTTCAAAAGGAACATTAAGGATACAAAAAGTGTGCCAGCCTCATTACAGGATGGGGGGGGGGGGTTGGGAGTGAAAGATTGAGGAAGTGAGTGGAAGTGTTGGTGGCAGTGATCACTGACACATTTCCCCTGGAGCTGTGTTTTCCTTGTGTCATTATCAAGTAGATCAGTAGCGGGAAGTGCAGAATGTATAGCCGAGGCTGATGTATGCATACCAATGTCTTGGAAACCTATAGAGCAGCCACATGCTAAGTGTTACTCACAAAGGGCAGGCATGAACACAGCCTGAACTGACTCACTTGCTCACTCAGTGTCCAACACAGACTCATACACTCACACCTGTCAGCTTTTAGCAAGTCTGTCCTGACTCATTCACTCTCAATAAAATTACTCATTATCCCTCAATGTAGAGGCCAGTAAACAGTGTGTAAGCACTCTTCACAGCTCACTGGCATCTGCTGGTTTTGTTGTACTCTTTAGAGGTTAATGGCAGGGAAAAGAAGTGCTAAGGGATTGCTGAATGACCACGTCCCTGGGACACAGATTCCTCTCTCTTAATCTCCGGCTCAGTGTGCCTGTGTCTGTGTGTGTTTGTGTGTGTTAGAGTGGAAGTGAGAGAGTGAAAAGAGATCGCTCCTTGTAGGGATGTGAGAAAAGACAATACTTTAAAGCTCTATATATGGTAACACATGCACTCTGTAAAACTTAAAGAGGAGAAGGCTTTGGTTAGAATATTGTGTTTTTGTATGTGGTCAGCAATGCTCCAGTCTGAGGTGAACAGTGAGCACTTTATAAATCCAAAGCTTCCACCAGTCAAACACTGTCTTTCTCACATGGATACAAAACAAATAGATGTCACAGTAAGAATCCCTGGCATGCACAGTCTATAAATATAAATCAAGAGAGGTTGGATGCACTTGTGACCGAGAGCAGATAAATAATGAGCTGGAACTTTGGCCGTGCTACTATTGCTTTCTCAAGAGAGCAGGACGCTAAGGCAACGTATTCTCAACCAAATCTTTTGTGCACTTTGGAAAAAAAACATATTTTATTTTATATTCCTCAGTCAAAAAATGAATCAGACTGAAAGGCAGAAAAGGTTCAAATTCAGAGAGTAGGCAGCTACTTTCAAGAGCAAGTGTTCTTTCAGCGTACAAGAAGGACGGGTCCAAATGAATGAAGTGTCTTTCCAACATGAATGGGATTCCTGCCACATAATGGTGTTACTGCTGTGCTGCTGTGCTCTTCTCCACACGGCTGCAGTTACTGGTAATGACTAGTTGTTCTGCACTACACATGTAAATGCTTCTACTGCTACAAATGTAGATGTAATAAAGTTTATTGTCCAAGCCTTGGCCCCCCCTGACCTGAGGGCTCATGGCAAATCCCATAGTACACAAAAGATTAAAAGATTTATAGCAAGTAAGGCGCTTAGTTTATTGCTTGTACAAATATCTTTAGGTTAGGATTACGATCCATCCCTTTAGAGATATGATCACACACCTTAAAACAGGTGCATTCAGGTTGAGAGCAGAGCCAGACCGATTAATCGACCACCCGATAATATCGGCTGATGTTAGCATGTCCAGAACCTATTGGCTAATATATATATATGCACCGATATTACAACATTTATTCACCAGTCAAAAATCCCATATTGGTCGGGTCCTAGTGAAGAGGCTTCCTGATTCCCAACCTTAGCGAAGATACAGTAGGTCTATAAATTAACAGAGAAATAAAGGGTTTGGTAGGATCCACTTTTGGCGAAAACATGAGATTTAGTTTGGAGAGGGAACAGTTTAGTTAAGCTGTTGATATATCCAGATTTCTATCATACACTGACTCCCCTGAGTTCAGAAGCTGCTGCCAAAACTCCCAACACAGTGACAATAATCAGTAACAGATCGCTGCTGTGTTTTATAAACCACTGATTCACAGTTTCGACGACCTTTTACATTTTCTTGCAAAACTCTCATAGGGAAAATATACAGAATATTTATTTTTAAACTATTCTCTAATACCAGACATATTTGAGTGACATAATTAGGTGCTCCTTGGATGCTAAATCATCTACCATGCTGCTGTGTAGCTCTTCCTGCCATCAGTGAAATTATTATAGAGTAAGGAAAAATGCTGTGGTGTTTTCACAAGTCATGTTACAGGAAGCATCTCGTGGTGAGGACTGAAGGCCTGTGAGATGTGTGTCATGTCTGTGTAGGGCAGAGGAGAAGACAGAGGGCCTTATATGGAAAAGACTTGGGCCTAACATGACGTCATCTAACACAGGGCTAAAGCAGTTTGACTTCCTTTGACTATGCAATTATGAAGTTGAACAACTTGCTGACAAACTTTATTGGTAACCGTTGGGAGTTTTACGAGACTGGGGTTTTGTTTGTTAGTTTTAATGTGATGAATAAAATGTGACAAAAAAATCAGACGGATTTCTTATAAATGTGTCAGTGAAGTTTGAAGCTCCTCACACAATACGATGATTTCCTTTCAGGCAGTAGGACTGTGGCATGTCCTGCATGTATTCCACCTGTAAGGTGTAATGGGAACAGAGCTATTTTGTTTTAAGTGTTAACATAATTCTGTTATGAGCTGTCGGTGCCATTTCAAAAGAATACTGTTTAGGTTAACTGGCCTGTAAGCATCATGTGATTCTAGAGGATTATTTGGATGACCTTTGATTTCTACAAGGATGACTCTGCATGGACATCTGCCCTTCCTCTGTCCAGGTTGATTGTGTTTAAACTGCTTATCTCCTACAACAGAGCTTGTCAATATCGCTGCCTCCTCCTTGACATGTCTAAAGAATAAAACCTCACAAAGATGACTGGGTCTTGGTCTTTGTTCATATTCTCAACTCACTGGAAATATTTCCATAACAATCGCTCAACAAAAAGAAATGCTTTACCCCGCAGAATCTCCTCTCAAGAAGCCATTGAGTATGTTTTTTTTTGTTGTGAGGAGCAGCCTGCTCTTGTACACCTGCA